TTCTCCCACATTGTCTGAGTCCCCACAAAGTTATCTGACGAGCAGGGCTCAGGGCCCAGGAGAGACAGTGAGGCGCTCCTTGGGAAAATACTGCAGAGTCCTTTCCTTGAAGAAGGAACACACAGCCTGCTTCTTCAGACACCACCAATCTATAACTGCCTAAGCAGCACATTAACCATCTACTTAAAATCTTGGGACGGCATTTATTCTATCCCGGAAACTGCGATGGGCCTATTTTTAGCAAGAGGGCCCTTCTTTTTTCTTTCATCCTACTTTGAAATACGATCTGTAGAGACCAGATGCTGTTCACAGAAAGGCCTATTAAGTTTCTTAATCTAACCTGGGCCTGCAGGATTAGCATTTTGAGGCACAGAGAGGTTAGGGTCCAGCTGTAAATCACACAGCTCCTTAGCAGCAGACTTAGTCTCCAATTTCAGGATTCCCTGACCTCTAAGCCCATGCCTCTTCCCACACACTGTACCACAAGAAAATCACAATGTGCTTCCCTGTCTGAGCTCCAGAGACAGAAAGCTCTGTCAAATCGCAGTTTCATGGTGGGGCACCATGGCACATGCCCATCATCTCACCAGCTCAGGAGGCTGATGCAGGAGGATTGAAAGTTCAAAGCCAGACTTAGTAAGTTAACTAGGTCCTAAGTAACTTAGCGAGACCCTGTCTCAAAATAAAATGAGATTAAAAAAAAGACTGGGAATATAGCTCAGTGGTAAAGTGCTCTTGGGCTAATCTCCTGTCCAAATATACATATATATATATATCCCAGTTTGTTTGTTTCATGATCCTGGTAAGTCACACAGAGTCTCTGAGCTTCCTTTTCCTCACTGGGTATTATGAGAATAACCATCTGAAGGATGACTATGAGAACCGAATGTGCCAGGGTTTGGCACACGTGCACATTATGATTATTCTGTACTGTTCCAAACTCAGAGTTGGGTAGACCTACGGTCATTGTGTCTGCTTGACCACCCAGAGATGGCGGGGAAGGACTGTTATCAATCCACTCACAGTGAGGAAAACTGAGGCTCCCCTGGGGTGACAGAACCTGCACAAGATCAAAGGGGTCCTGTTTGTTACTTTGCAGTGCTGGGGATCAAACCTGGACCTCACGCATGCTAGGCAAGCACTCTACCACCGACCTCCATCCCTACCTCCCCAGACCCTGAGATGAGAGTTTTCAAAGTGAGCAGATCATCAGCATTCAGAAGTCATAAATGCCCACCCACCAACCTGCTTAGACATTGGTTAAATTAGTAGTAAAGCTACCTCTATCTTCCCCCAGCAGAGCAGAGCTGCAGAAGCACTGGCCACACTTCGGGACCATCCTTTGTGCACTGGAGCCAGAACAGTAACTGGTACAGACCAGAGGTTTTACGGGGTTTTGATGAATGAATGAATTACTGAATGAATGAAGATCCTGATCTGCAGATGAGAACAAAATGGCCTAAAGCAGGTGTTTTGTTTGCAGAAAGGGGTGGTGAGGTGGGCAGGCAAGACCCCAGTGACAGCATGCAAGAGCCCTGCCCTGTAGGGAGGAAGCCTTTGACAAAGCCAATAGCTGGTTCCTTGACCTTAATGGTCCTGTCTAGAACATCTCCCAGCCTGTCCCGCCAGACCCCATCCACCCTCTCCTCCACCCCACATGACTGTGAGGCACCTGTGACTCTCCTCCAGCTAAAACAGATGTAATAACATTGCAGACTAGGGGTGGCAAATAGGCCAGCAGAATTGGCCCATCTGTCTTCCTAATTGTCAAGTGTGCCCGTAATAAGATTTTTCTCCCTGTCACACCTTAGGCTGCTCCTGAACTGAAGCAAAACCAAGATATACATTTTCCAGCCATGAGCATGGCCTTCATAAAGCACCAAGGATGCAAAGAAGCTGCTTGGCTAAAACAAGCAGAAAGAAACAGAAGGAATTTGGACTTCTTGGGAACTTGGGGTCCTTGCTCCTGACCACTGGGGGTACTTGAGCAGTCACTGCACCTCACTCAGTCTCTGTTTCCTAAAAAATTGCAGTCTAAACATATGGAGTTGGACATGGTGGCATGCACCTGTAATTCCAGAGGCTGGGGAGGCTGAGACAGAGGACTGTGAATTCAAAGTCAGCTTCAGCAATTTAGCAAGGCCCTAAGCAACTCAGCAAGACCTTGTCTCTAAATAAAACACACACACACACACACACACACACACACTGGTTGGGGATGTGGCTCAAGGGTTAAGTGGCACTGGATTCAGTCTCTGGTACCAAAAAAATAAAAAATAAAATTATAGAAATTGGGTCCATGGGGGGGCTATGAATCATATGATATTATATGTAAGATATTTTAAGTTATATGCATTTGAAGGAGAGTGTCCATAATTTTCAACAGCATCTTAAAGATATATGCAATACTCCTCCATTTAAAAAGTTAAGAAATACTAAACAATTTCTATCCAACAGTTATTGGGCACTTTCTATGGTCCTGCTCTGTGCTAGGCACTGGAGACACAAATATGACCAGAAAAGTTCTGATTTTAGGGTACTCAGTGCAGTTGATACTCACTGTAACAGAAGCCTACTTTTTGGTGGATTGTTGTGTTTTTGTTTTTTGGTAGTGCTGGGGATTAAATCCAGGGTCTCACGCATGCTAAACAAGTGCTCTCACATCTCCAGCCCAGGACATGCCTTTGGAAACAAAGAGGCAACTTTTGATTCTGTCTGGTCAGGAAAGGCCTTCTGGGAGGGAAAACTTAATGATGAAGTTGAAGGCTATGTATGCATTCAGTGGGTGAACAAATGGAAGAGTATTTTAGACAAAGGGCAATATGTGCAAAGACAACAAGTGCTCCACAAATTGCCTCAAGTGTAATTGTGAGTAGAACACTGTGGGGGTGCTCACTGCAGGAGACCAGGGAAAGTGGTGGAAGCCAGAGATAAGGCTGGACAGGTAGGCAGGGCCCAGATTAGGAAATGCTCTGTCCACCACCCTAAGGAATTTTACTTTGTGGACAGTGAGTTCTTTCCAGCTGCAAAAGTCTAACATGAACTTTCACTCCCTGCATGAATTTCCCTAAATGCTGAGCAGAGGCCTGACAGTTGTGAGCTGAATGGAACAACAAGGAAGGAGTAAAGGAAAGAACTGCTCTTGGCACCATGAGTGGACACATGGGCTACCTGATCAAGATACTGGTATTTAGTGCACATGTTCTGTTCGGGGTGAGTCCAGCAGGGTGCTGTCAGTCTCTATTTCTCTCTCTGCATGTGACCTGGATGGGGGCAGAGAGGGGAGTGTCTAACTGCCTATTATTATAGCCAAGAAAGAAAGATGCTAATTGGCCCACTCATTGGGATGCAGAACTAAGGTACATGCCTATTTAGGCCCCTGGACCTCACCTGGCAAACAGGTTTTCAGTTCCTCCACTTGACTCTACCGCTCCTTTTGCTTCAAGCCTCTTTCCATCCTCCTCAGTTAGTTAACTCCTATCAGTTTTCAGACAGAGTGACACTGGACCAATCACAGGTTCTCAGGACACCTAACGGTTTCCTTTAAAATAACTCAGCACTGTGAAGCATTCTATACTCAATAAATTCTATACTCACTCAAATAAGTGATTTGATTCATGTCTTGGCCACTGGTCTGTGAACTCCATGAGGCCAAAGAGTGCCAGTTCTTTTACTTTTGTATTTCTCTACCTTGCCCAGTGCCCGGCATGGAGTTGATTGAATGACAGCCTGAGCCATTCTCCACAACAAACTGTCCCTGATCTGGTACTGGTACTTAGTTCACATGTTCGGGGTGAGTCCAGCAGGGTGCTGTCAGTCTCTATTTCTCTCTCTGCATGTGACCTGGATGGGGGCAGGAAAGCTGGACTTGAAAAGACAATGAAAGACAGGACTCAGCTTAGGTTCCAAATGTAGATCTAAGGTCTCCTATGTCACGTCTGGAGAGGCTCTAAGAAACTCAGATTTGATTTACTCAGGAAGGTCCTTTGGAACTGAACTTAATTCAAGATGCTTTCTCCCGGGGCTTCAACCTGGTCAGTGGCTACATCTGACCCTTCCCTGGCCATGCCTGGTGGATACAGGACTCTCTCTGCCCTGGTCTCAGAGGATTATCCTTGGAGAGGAGAAATATTCTCCTCTTTCTTGGAAAATACTCCCTCCCCACCTTACTGGCCCACATCCCAGGGTGCTTGGAAAATAAGAATGCCAGGGTTTTGTAGCCCTGGTGGATGTTCAAGGACAAGAGTAGGTTCAGAGCTGGTGTAGGGGTCATGAGTTTGACTTTCCAACTCCCATACTAAGTAACCGGCCAGTTGAAGGGGCGAAGTACGTGGGGTCAAAGATTTGACACTAAGGGAGATGTAAGAGAGAGGGGAGCTCTCCCAGTGGCCCAAGGCTTGGCAAAATGTTCCGGGGCGCTCTTGTACCTGGCCCCCCAGATACCCCCAGCCTCCACCCAAGGTCACTGGAGGGCTGGAAACTTCAGCCAGGGACTGAGGAGTGTCAGGCCAGGAGCTTGGGGCCAGATTTTGCAAAACATGAGCGACTACACACGCTGAATTCCAGGTAGTCCTAGGAGCCGGCGGTAGGGTGCCCCCAGTCCCGCAAGCTGCATCTCAGAACGCAGGGTAAAGCTGGGCAGGGGCTGCACCACCTGGGCCGCAAGGACGACGCGGTCTCTCCTTCCCCACTGGTCTCAATCCTCCAGAGAGATGGAAAGGGAGCGGCGCCCATCCACCCGCAGCCGGCGCAGCCCAGCAGCCCCCTCCCGCGCTGTCGCGGACCCCAGGCTTCGGGGCGGGGGCACCCGCTCGGCCCTGGCTGCCGCAGCCTCTGCCTTAAAAGGAGCTGGCGACGCCGCTCTGGGAGGGGGCTAGGATGGCAGCAGGGACCAGAGAAGAGTGGCCGAGCGCGGGGGCCAAGCCCCTGGTAGCGCAGGGCGGGGTGCTGGACGCCCCAGCAGACGCACTGCTCGGGGTTGGGGGCGCAGAGACCCTTACCTTGGCTAGCCGCGGAAGTACGGTGGGAGGCGACTCACTGTGCCTGGGGCCCCGCGGCGGGGCGCCCACCCTGCCTTCCGGGCGCACGCAGCCTCTGGGTGCAGGTCCGCGTCCCGGGCGCGCACCCCGCTCTGGCGCACCCTTGTTGTCCGGGGCGCGCACAGCCTCCAGGCGCCCTCTGGCCGGAGAGATAGGCCAGAACTCGGGGTGCACACCCTGCGGGCACACCCACCGCGCCGGATGCGGGACTGGGAGGCGCGGCCCGCCGCCGCTTCGCCCCTCGTCGCTGGCTGCCAACACCACCCGAGTCCCCGCCTTCGCTAGCGGGGGTGAAAAAGACTCCTGACGCGGCACGGGCTTTGGTGTGTAGGAAAGGGCCGAATTGCGAAACCGAGGGGGAGGGTCTTAGCTTTGATAACTGCAAAAGCCCTTGGACAGAGTTTAGGAGAAAAACTTTGAAAAGAAACCAGAAAACTCCTAACTGGTGCATATCGCTTTTCAGATTTCCAAATGTGCTTTCACATACCGTTCTCTCAACTCATTTAGACATTTCTATCTTCGTGATAGATGGGGAGACAGCATCAAAGTAACGACTTGCCCAAGACAGGACTCGAACCCAGGCCTGGCAACTGGGAATCTGTGTGCAGTGAGCTCTTAGCCAGGGAAGGTGGGGGAGTGAAGGTGGGTGAGGGATGTAACAGAACTTTTATCTCTCCTAAGGCATTTCTTTTTCCATCTCCTTCCAAGTCATGGTTGTAGCCCCACTCAGAATCCTAAATCTTTCACTTCGCAGCCCCATCTTCCACGGAAGCGGTTCATTGAACTTTTATTAATGAAATATTTGCCTATTTCATTAATTATTTCATAATTTCATGTTCTGTGTTCTGTGTTGTGCACAATAGTACTAGAAGCTGCTTCTACTACTCCTTTTACAGATGGGGACAAACAGTGGGGTTGGAGAGGAATGCAGCCTGCTGTACTCCAGATCCCATCCCTGACCACCACTAGCGTCTTTCCTTCCACCCAATAGCACATAGTGAAACTGAACCAAAGGGGTTTCATTTTTGACTTTGTGATCCAGATGAGAGAGATAATTTGAGGCAAGAGACATTTCTGGGGCTTTTATTTCCTGTTTTGACAGAAGCATGGTTGTTAGAAGGATTTCACCCCTGCTAGGATTCCAGCAAAGCAAAGGGATAGCCCCAGAGCAATCATAAAGGGGAATGGAGGCTTGGAGACAATAGGGAGTGATGGGAACTATGGCAAGCTGGAGAGCATCCCATCCCCCACCTAGGCTCTTGTCCAAGGCTTCCACTACTCATCTGCAGTTGATTTCTGCCATCCAAGAAAAGGAATTAATATGGCTTGATCCTATCTTTTTTAGGAAAAGCCATAAATCCAGACATTTAAGTGAAGTCTCCTAATTTGTTGGCGACTTATTTAAAAAATGCTAAATCTATATATATAGGTCAATATTGTTTAAGCCAAAGAAAATGGGTTTATGGATCAGATCCAGCCTGTAGACCAAGGGTTTGTGCCCTCATGTTTGGAGTACTTGACTCTGCTTCATTTGGGTTTCTGGTGGGGTAGACCCAGTGTGGATCACTATTTCTATTTTAGGGAAAAGGACACCAGTTTCAGGTAGGTTTAGCCCAAGGTCACACAAGTTAATTGGTGGAGCAGGAACTGAAACCCCAGCATTCCAAGTCCTGGTTTTGAACTCTTTTTCTCTGATCTTATGAAGAATTTGTTTCTTGACTTCTGGGTATTGTGAGCCAAATTAGGCATGGGGCTGGCACTGGGGTGTGGAGACACAGCACCTTTCCTAGGAAGATGAAGCTGCAATGCCAGACTGTTGTCCTCGAAAGCAGGAGCTCAGCCTGATGACTCAGAGACCAAACTGTGTCTTCAGGGTAAAGCTGAGTCAGAGGCAGCAAGATCTGAATTGGCTTAGGCTTCTGAAGCACAGGTTAGGGCATCAAGAAAAAAAAAAAACAGACTAAGCAAATGTGCCCATCATAGCCTCCTCCCACCACCCCTAAAACAGAAGCCACACACACAGGCACTTCTAGAACATTGCCTGCTTTTCCTGTCATGAAAGGAAGGCAGCAAGAGCTAACTTAGGAAGCAGACCCCTTGTATGGTCCTGGAAAGAAGCAACACCTTTCAGGCAGCAGGTGTTCTAGAATCTCAGGTTTGGGCATTTCCACTTCAGAACCCAGCCTGGGCTTTTCAGACAGTGAGGGTTTATGCTGAACGCTGATTTAGAATGGGAACAACCCTGCTGCAGCCGGAACCTCCGCAATCAAAGGAGTGAGGAGCGGATAGAATGGAGAGTCTCCCTACCCCTGCCCCCTACTGGAGTTTGGAGTGAAGTGTAGGAGGATTCGTATGTGTTCACCTTCTACTGCATGCTTGGCACTGCACTGATCATTTCACATACGTGATCTGTCTCACTGGGACTCACAACAAAATTGTGAAGTAGCTGTCATTCTCCTGCTGAATGGAACGAGGTACAGTTCACTAGCCTAGTCAATTGAAGATATGGATTCAAACTTGTACCTTGAAGACTGAACTTCTCTAACTGAAGGCCTGGAAATTGGGGCCCACATGGAGATATGTCACTCAGACCCTACTCCATGACAGGACTGCCTGGTTGCCAGCAGTGTGGCAATTCCTGCAGAGTGGGCCTCAGTCATTGTGTGCTGGTAAGGTTTAACAACAGGCTCGCAGTGGGGTCAGTTCTCATGCTTCTCTATAGTTCTCCGTAAGCCCTGAAAAGTAGCTTCAAACACCAAATAGTGAATACTGAGCCATTCCTCCTGGCTGAAATACAAAGTTAGATCCCTGTGAGACTATGGTCACATTTTCATCAACCCATTAACATATGTAATAGTCTCCCCTTATCCACAAGGGATATGTTCCAAGCCCCCGTACTGGATGCATGTATGATGTACACTGTATGTACTGTTTTTTTTCCTGTATATGCATACCTGTGATAAAGTTTAACTATAAAGACATAAGAAATTAACAGCAATAATTAATAACAAAATAGAATAATTATAACAATATGTTGTAACAAGTTATATGAATATGTCTCTCTTCAAAATTGCCCAACATGCATGCTCCCAGCTGAGTTAATCAGGGCGATACTCCCCCCTGCTTATCTTACTGTTCTGTACTCACTCTTGTGATGTTTTGAGATGATGCAGTGCCTGTGTGAGGAGATGAAGTAGGATGGATGTCACAGGTATTGTGACTTACACAGCCTTAGGCTGTTATGTGAGGGTTACTTGAACCAAACACTGTGAAATCGTGATAGTTGATCTGATAACCAAGAAGACTACTAAATGACTAAAGGAGTGCCAGGTGTACAGGACAGTGGGATGATTCACATCCAGAGAGGAATGGAACTGGCAGCACCAGATGTCATCATGTCATTCAGAACAGTGCTCAATTTAAAGTTCATAAATTATTTATTCCTGGAACTTTCCATTTAATATATTTGGACTGTGGTTGACCATGGGTAACTAAAACTTCAGAAAGCAAAACTGAGGATAAGGTGTTGAGGGAAATACTTTAACCTTATTTTCTGTGTGTTTTTCTGTTGAAAGACACTTTTTGTTCAGTGTATATTGTTGACATTGAACTCATAGCCAAATAGCATTATGCATACCTGGTCAAAGCTTGTCTAATACACATATTTTCTCCATAAGGTACACCACAGTCTTCTTGTGCTTAGTAACAGCACCTGAACACTAAACTTGGGGGCTATTTTAAACACCAAAATTATCCACAAAAAAGCACAAACATATGAAAAACATGGCACTAGATAAACAGCAGAGAGTAAGCTTACAATATGAGAGCTGGAGCAAAAAGCAGAGCTGTCCAACCCAGCTGTGCATGCTGGCCAATTCAAAATTTTTGTCACTCCTTTCATGTCTACAAATGACCATAAAAGCGCAGTAGGTATTGACTGAAATTCACACAGGTCAATTTTAACACAGATGAATTTGCAAATACAAAAATCTGAAAATAATGACGATGGATTGTACAAGTATCGGCGTGTGTGTATGTGTAAGTATCAGTTTATTATAAATTTTACTGATATGAAGAAGTATAATGTATAATTTCTCAATGATGATTCAATATACAATACTCTGTTATGTATTCCATAGAGCCAATTAATTCTCACAGGAAAGTTTTGCTGATCTTTATCTCTCATATCTAAGCTATTGTACCCAACGTGCACTTAACAAATCAGTATGGATCTGACATAAAAGTTGATTGGTAGCAGGGTGCAGTGGCACACACCTATAATCCCAGTGGCTCACTTGAGAGGCTGAGGCAGAAGGATCACAAGTCCAAAGCCAGCCTCAGCAAAATCGAGGTCCTAAGCAACTCAGTGAGACCCTGTCTCTAAATAAAATACAAAATAGGGCTGGGATATGGCTCAGTGGTCAAGTGTCCCTGACTTCAATCCCAGGTACCAAAAAAAAAAAAAGTCTTAAAAAAGTGATTGATATTTTTGTTTGCATTAAGGATTAATATGAAATTAAAACAGCAAAGATGTGTCCTGGGAACTTCACTCATTCTTCAGTGGCATTGGTGACATCCTTGTGAATCAGAAAAAACTTTGCAAATACTGGAATATTCCTCCAATTTCTGTGCTATTTACAATGTAACAGCTACAGCAATATATACTCTTAAGGTTAATTTGCATTATTAAACTTTTTCTTTTACATCCTATGTCTGGAACACTGCACAGATTTTTGTGTCAACAAAAATTTCCATCTCCTTAGGATAAATATGCAGAAATGAGATCACTGGGTCATGTTTAACTTGATAAGAAACTTCCCAACTGTTTTCCAGATCAGTTATTCCATTTCCATTGCCACCAGCAATGAATGAGAGAGTGAAGTAGCTCCTCATTCTCACCAGCCTTGGTTATTATCAATATATTTTTTAAAACTTAGCTATGGGTATGCATAGGTATTTCATCACATTTTTAATGTGTATTTCTCAAATGGCTGATGATCTTGAACATTTCTTCATGTGCTTATTTGCTATCCATATTGTATTTTTAAAATATATTCTATTTAATTGTAAGTTTACATAATTTAATTTTTATTCATGGCTAGGCATAACCACTGGCTCATAAAATTTCTGAAAATGTAATAGTCAGCTATTGTGAGCTGGAAGAAGCTGGCTCCAGTGCAGCTCCTCTCCTCTGGGCAGCTCCCATCCAATGACTGAGCAAAAAGGTGGGAATCCTGGCCATGTCCTTCCTGGGCAGGACTCC